TGCCCCGGCGCCCCCGGCAGCGCCGCCCGCCTGCTCGCTCGCTCGCTCGGTGTCCTACTCCAAACTTTTTTTATTTGTCTTTTAATTGGTTGTTATTCCTCCGAATGAATGATCTCTCTCTTCTTTCCTAAAAGCAAACACAAACTCCTTTGGTTCGGAAGAGGTCTCAGCGGTGCTTTTTGGTTTCTCTGGAGATTTTTTCACTTCACAGCAACGATCTTTTAAAAGGCACCTTTTAGCTTCTTTAACCACATCTCATTTCCTTATTTTTCTTCCTTCCTGTTTTCTTGTCTTTTTTAACCCCAAAATGAAGGGGATTATAAAAAAAATTAGAGTGAAACGCTTGCGGCTTTTTTTTTTTAATTCCCTCTCCTTTCAAACTCTGCGAACACCACCTCAAAATAATATACAAGTGTGTGAGAGAGGGGGTAGACAGCAGCCAACAGCCCAAACACCCGCTCAGAACAGCTCTAACAACACGCTCTGTGTAGGTGACTTCTTTGACCAAATTTAGCATCAGCTAATCATTAACATTCTGATACATATTCACAACAGTCGGTGGAGGGACCGCGGGGCATCCCGGGAGATGTAGTGCGCCCCTGGCGACTGCGGCTGAGGATTCCGCCAGATTGACTACAATCACCGGCCCGCCACGCGACCGCTCTGGGGCGCTCTCCAAGCGCCCCGCCCACCCTCGGCGCAGTAGGCGTCTCCAGCAACCAATCAGAGATGGCTGAACATTAATCGCCGTTCTGTGTTACTGCCCATCATTTCACTGCTGACAAATGGCGAGCCAGGGGGGTGGAGCCGGCCGGGCTGGAGCCCACGTGGGGGCCGGGCGTCGTCCGCAGTGCGGACCAATGAACAGCACCGAATGGGGTTGGCGTAGGCGGGGCGGAGATGGCCCGCCCAAGGCGGAGCTGCGCCTTGGCTGACGTTCCTTAGCGCGAGCGTTCGAACCCGGCAAACATTTGTTCAGCTGTCAATCAAAGTAACGTGGGCCTGGGAGAAGCGGCGGTGGCTGCCGCCGCTGTTGCTGCTGCCCTGGCTGCATCTTCGGAACTGGGTGTTGGTGGCGGTAAAATAAAGAGGGTGGAGGGGGTGGTGAGACTGGAGGCTAGTCTCCTTCCGAGTCCCGTCCCCTCACCCGCCCCCCTCCAACCTAAACACCTCGTCCGCTCGCTCCGCCGCGGTGCCAGGAATGCGGACTAATTAGGGTCCAATGTCTCCTTAAAGAGACAAGCTCGGCCTTGTGTAACGCGCCGAAACCCCTGTTGAGACAAGAGAGGGAGGATCAGGCCGATCCCACTTCGTTCGGTTCACATCAATTTTACGCGCCGCTGGAGCCGGCATAATTTTCCATGTGAACTCGGACTCGGGCCTCTGTTCTTGTTTAGAGCTGGAGACCGAGCTGCGAGACGCAGCCCGGGATGAGGGGAGGGAAGGGGACCGGGGGGCTCTCCCAGCCCCGAGGTGGCTGTGATTGCGGCTTAACCCCGGAGCAGAGCTGTCTGCCCCAAGCTACTCTGCAAGGAGGCGCCCCAGGGTGCAGCGCCCGGGGCGTAACCGAAGAGTAACGGAGAGGGGCTGTAGGCCGGGGACGTGGGTCGCCGGATTCCCAAAGAAACTTTGTCGTGGGGGCCACCGGCCCCCCGCAGACCGAGTCGGCCCGCACTAGAGCAATGTCAGTTGAGTGCCAGCCCCCGGCACTAGGAAGAAAACGCCCCTGCGCGCCCCGAGATGCTCCCTCCCGTGTCCTTCCCCGTGCCCCTCTTTTTCCCGCTTTTTGGAGGAGCGAGTCCAGTTCGTCCCCGTAGAAACTGGCAGGGGCGTGCCACGAGATAGGGAGGGTCGCCACCGCGGCGGGGGTGGGCGAGAAATGGGGGCTGGGA